AGATTATTTTTCCGTTTTATAAATTAAAGAAACCGAAACAAGTCTCATCTCTATTTCTGTCTGTCGGTCTGTCTGTTACGGCCCAAGAGGCATTTTACGCGGCCTTCTCCTGAAAAATGAGAGTACCTATCAAGATCCAAATCATTTAAAGTATTCACTGGATTGGCGAGATTGTCTTTAGCCATTAAAATGTGGTCTCACTATTTCTTAAATAAAATGACGGATGTTTAAAAACCCGATTTCGTGCGGTTTTTGTCAAGTTTTCTCCCAATGTCCATCACATAATCGTCTATGAAATAACAAACAGCTGTTCGGATCAAGATTATTTTTTCTAGCTGTCACTGATATGTTTACATTAAATGTTGTTTACAAATACCGCTAACATTTCCAATCACGTTTTGAAAGCAAAATCCAAACCAAGTGAGATTAAAAATGGTTTTCCTTACATAAAGGATTTAATTAATCAAAAGTGCAATAATGTGTATTGTCACCGTAAATGAAATTAGATATTCTTTGTGTATACAATTTTTCTGAAGTTTTGATAACCGGAAAAAAGACCTTGAATCAGTGTTGTATAGGGCTGGGAACTTACATTTATAAAATCCATCGTCGCCAGTAGCTTTCATTGACGGCGTTTCAATGGCGGTTGTGTGAAGTGTAAAGTGAAAAATCATAACTGCAGTTTGTGATTGTAACAGAGGTTTGCCGGTTTACGGATGATGCTAAACTCGCTTTTCCAATGTGTCACTTTCGGTTTCTACTCACCGTTATGTGCTGCAATCGCTGGACCATACCACCAATAAGCCCATAGACTGTATCTTGGGTACGTAGGCCTACCCAATTATTCATGACAACCTATTCGACGACGATCCTTGATACCGGTACTTTTCCCTACAATACATGGCCTACCTACATAGGAAATCAAATTAAAAACGTTACAAAACACAACATAGTGAGATTTTTTCACAATTCCTTCTTATGTTAACTACGTATACGAAACATAGTTTAGAGAATACGCAATCTTTTAAATAACAAAAAGCTGTTTGGACGAGGTTGTTTTGTTCAAACTGTCACCAAAATGTTTAATTAAAAGTTGTTTACAAATAATTCAATTAATGGGAAATAACTTTGATTTTCGATAACTTTTTGTCAGAAAATCCAAAACCAAGAGAGATCAATAGCCTCGAAACTGGATTAACGCATTTAATTGGTCGGATGTACTATAGTTCTTAACTGTAGGCCTAAATGTTGGTTTTTTGTACCGGTACTGGTTTTTTCCTTAGAACCGGTGGTATCAAAAAGAATAATTTTTACGTACCAACACATCACTATTTACAAATTAGTTATCGTTAGTGTTACACCTTATTTATTACAGTTGTATTCAATTTAACTGCGATATCTTACTGTATACGTTTTGATTTTTCTTTATATGTCATTATATTAGGTTTATATATAATAGTTTTGCCAGCACATCTGAAAACATGCAAACCAACTGCTGTTCTTTATACAGTGTGGTAGAAAGGTCCCGGAACGGTTAAATATTTAAAAAAAATAATGCGGATAGAGCTAAAATACTTGGTACAAAGTTACAAGGCATAACACTCTATTTTAACACATATTCAGTGATCCAATAATTCTTCAGAGGGACCGCAAGGAGTCGGAAGAAAATCTTAAATGGAAGCATAGGTCAATATGCACATCAAATTAAAGGCCTTTTTTAGTAGAATACAATGCCGCAAACCGCACTTCAAAAGGTTGATCCTGCGCAAAATGACAGTTGTTCAAGTTATGAGGCGACAGGGCCTCACTCTCTAATTATTTACCTAAAAAAAAGTTTCCTGCACAACTTCACGTTACGCTCTTTCCAATGACACCAAAAACATGTCAATCGGTTCAGTAGTTTCGGAGGAGTAATTGTCACAAAAAACCTGTTTGCGTATTAAATAAGTACTAGTGTCCCTGTTGCTCGAATTCGAGCAATTTCTAAGTATTACATGCGTTATTTTAAAACGAATAACATTCATAATTTCTGATGACTTTGACTCAAAGATTATGGAAATACTCAAGATGTACATAACAGATCGATATAATCAACATTTCTTGTAAATATCTTATCATTTTTCCAAAGCTAATCTTGTTTTTTAGTGTTTTCTACAAATAGCCTTATTCATAGCCGCATTAGGTTGTCCATAATAACGATTATAAATTCTAAAAAAAAAAATCTATTTCTTTTCCTTGGTGGTGTTCTATGACTTTTCTATGTTTCCATAGTTTGCAAATCGGCTCTTTCAATGATTACTACAAAATGCAGCACAGTGTTAATTCATTTTCTTTTTAGTATATCAATTTATTCAGGCTCTCTAGTTTTTTTCCATTGTAATATTTACGCCAACCCAAATGAAAAAGTAAACTATTTCATTTAAACCAAGTCAGTAAATGTTTGTAGCAAACTGTTAAATTAGCAATCTTGTTGACTTTAAAATTAACATATGTTCTTCTTCTCACTTTTAATTTCTGACAACAGCTGGAGTTTCATAACTATTTTTGTTTCCCATGTTAATCTTATGGAGAATATGAAAATTAAAAGGGCCCTAGGGCCTCGCTCTCTAATTATTTGCCTAAAAAGAAAGTTTCCTGCACAACTACACGTTACGCTCTTTCCAGTGACACCAAAAACATGACAATCGGTTCAGTAGTTTCGGAGGAGTAATTGTCACAAAAAACCTGCTCTGCGTATTAAATAAGTACTAGTGTCCCTGTTACTCGAATTCGAGCAATTGCCAAGTATTAGAGGCGTTATTTTTAAAGGAATAACGGTCATAATTTCTGATGACTTTAAAAGATTCGACCAAAAGATTATGGAAATACTCAAGATTTAACAGAATATATCAATTTACCCAGGCTCTCTCGCTTTTTTCAATTGTAATATTTACCATAACCCAAATTCAAATAGTAAATATTTCATTTAAACCAAGTCAGTAAATATTTGTAACAAACTGTATTTTTTTAGCAATCTCTTTGGATGTTTAGAATTAACATATGTTCTTCTTCTCACTTTTAACTTCTGACAACAGCTGAAGTTTTATAACAATTTTTGTTTCCCATGTTAATCTTATGGAGAAATACGAAACTTTAAAGGGCCGCAGGGCCTCAATCTCTAATTATTTCCCTAAAAAAAAAAGTTTCCTGCACAACTTCACATTACGCTCTTTCCAATGACACCAAAAACATGTCAATTGGTTCAGTAGTTTCGGAGGAGTAATTGTCACAAAAAACATGCTTGCGTATTAAATAAGTATAGATATAGATATAGATATAGAATAGAATATAGATATAGATATATAGATTAATAAAATTTGCATTTGGCCCGAGGCGAAGTAAAGTGGCGAAGCCAGATTTTTGGATAATCTCTTCACAATTATAGTTTCTTAGTACAAATCAACTATATTCTGTACAGGTTTGAAAATCCAACATATGTCACTGTAGAAGGCATTCTCTACTACTTCATTTTCATAATACCAATTAAGTTTATCGAGTGGGTGGGGGGTACAAGCCAACACCAAGCCACGTACACAAGCCAAGCTAGCTGTCCAAGAGGGGGGTACAATTCCGGGGGGTACAATTCCACCCCGTACACATTTGGCTTTCTGATGGGGGGTACAATTCCAGGGGGTACAATTCCACCCCGTACGTAAATATTTTGATGTTGGCAGGGGGTACAATTCCGGGGGGTACAATTCCAGGGGGGTACAATTCCGGGCCGTACATCTCCTGTTCTTTTTAATATCTAATATAATTATCCGGTTCACTGATCACTTGCCCACATTAAATAGATTAGATTTCGTTCAAATCAAAGTGTACGGGGTGGAATTGTACCCCCCCTAGGCGTGACGTCAAAATGACGTCAACGATCACCGGGGGGTACAATTCCAGGGGGGTACAATTCCGGCGACTCGTGATTGTTAGTAATAAAAAACCAGATTTTTAGTAATTAAAAAACGGTCGTAGGTAAAGTAGTGTACGCAATTCGCGTTAATAGTCTTTACGACACTCGTAGAAGTTTTTAAGGCACTTGCCAAGGCTCGTGCCTTAAATTTTCTACTCGTGTCGTAAAGACTAACTTAACGCAATCGTTGCGTAAACTACTATTTCTACATAGTTTCCACCATTGTTCAGACATTTGTCGTACCGGTAGCGAGGAACCAACTTTTCTATACCCTCTTCATAGAAAGATGCCGCCATTGAATAGAGCCATTGCTGAACACCGTCTTGAGCGTCGTCATCACTGTCAAAGCGGCGCCGTCCGAAATCCCGCTTCAAGCAAAACACAAGTGGATATAAGATTCAGATCAGGGTGGTATGGCGGATGGTCAAACTGTGCTCTCAACCAAATCCATGAATACGGTTTTGAATGGCACCAGCAGAATGGGGACTCACAACAGATGGCCGCCCGTTGCGAGCCTCGTCATGAACATAGGTTCGCCCATAATTGCATTACCAAATCCATTTTCTTACCATTCCATCACTGATAACTTTTTCTCCATAAACTTCTGTAAGTCGGCGATGAATTTCAGCAGGCTTCACGTTCCTTGTGTTCAAAAATCGTATTACAGAACGCACTTCACAGGCCAGGGTATCAGAAATTGTTTCAAACATTTTGAGTGCACACTTACCAATGTAAACACAACACAATTTTGCCGTAATTGCGTCATCTGCTCAACAATGAAACAAGGAGACTAGTGTGCATGCACGTAACATCGTTGTTAGGGCTGTGCAGGCGTTATTTACTTTCTGGACAAGCCTCGTATGTTACAATAGATAGTTTTTGGTTTTTTATCTACTTCTAAAGACCACTTACCACAATCACCACTCGTTATCTTTTATATGTATTTATTGGCTTTTAAGAAAAGAGTATAAGACAGTGTGAATATATGTTCATAATTTTATTAGACATATTTTTTTTTTCTGTGGTAATTGTAACATGTGATATTGCTTTGCAGGACATTATATCAGTCGATCCTTGTCACAAGTTTACGTGGTGCCTCGATGCTTGCATTCGGGAGAAAAATGTGGACATCAAACGATCTAGAGAACTTCAGGTAGGTACAGCTACTAAACTACAAATTTTAACTTCTTTACGAACATTATTCATGTATTATGCATTGCCGGTTAAGTGTAAGAAAGTAGTACTTTGTGACCTATCTAATTAATGTTTTTTTGTCTTAATTGCATTACCAATTTGGTATATGCTGTTGATTTTATGTTTTTAACAGTATGTGTTGGTATTAGAATATTATTTGATATACTCTAGAGGCTTTGAGGTATTAGTTTCATTTTTTAAATTCCTCATTTCTGACTTGTCTTCAGGGCTGATGTCAGTACGGTAGCTATGCAACTTTCTTTGTTCAGTTTTTAAATTATTTGGCCAGTTTAATACTTTCTTTGATACAATTTTGAACTCTGAAGTTGTTGTTTGTCGTTGTTGTAGGGATTCCTGGACAGCATTAAGCGAGGTCAAGAACAGGTCCTGGGCGATCTTTCCATGACCTTGTGTGACCCTTACGCCATCAACTTCCTCGCCACCTCCGCCATGAAGATACTGCAACATCTCATCAACAACGAGGGGCTGCCCAGGGTATGTGACGTGTGTCGGATTGCTGTTGAAAAATAACTATAGAGGCCACTTATCCAGCAGAAAAGTTGCTACGCTTTGTTATTGAAATTTTATTTGAGAAAAAATCGAATCAATTTAACTTGTTTTCAGAATAGTGAAAATTGGGAGGCAAAGCAATTATCTTTTTCAGAAAACTAAGCTGACTTTGAAAGGAATTAGATCATTAAGTGTTTATCTTAAGTGTTTTATGATGTGCTTTAAATATCTGTGGATAATTATGAAATGTTACAAGGTTTATACCTATATTTTTAGAAGTGCATGGTTAACTTCACAGGGTCATTGGTCTAGTGATAGTGTGGGACTTAGGTACCAGGTTCAAATCATGCCAATCCCCAATGCTGTTAAGCTATGTGATAACACAACCACAAGGCCTAGCTAGAAGTTATGTGTAATTTACACATGTGTCTTAGAATGTGAAGGTAGGTCAAGAAATGAGGTAAACTTAACAAGCCTACCTGTAACATTCGGGTAACGATTGCAATACAATTCATTCAAGAAAGGTTCTTCTAAAATAGTTAATTTGTTTTCAGGAAAACACCATCCTTATCTTGCTTTTAAGGATGCTGGCTTTGGGGCTCAGTGCTTGGGTCATGATCGATTCTCAGGTAAGTGAGACTAAAATTAAAAACCCCATCCAAATACAGTAGAACATCGATAAACCGGCTTAAACAGCTGGGTCACAGGTCGGATTTAGGAAAAGGCCAGACTATCAAGAGATCTACAGATAGAGAATTACAGATATAGAATTAATTATTATTGGATAGAAAATTACAGTTATTGTTTGTGAATTTGGGATAGGTTGCCAAAGTTGCTGCAAAAAGTAACATCAACATTTTTATGCACTGCTTTTTTATGTTCTGAGCTTGAAGTTGATGACCAATGACTATAATTGCTGTCTAAGAGAGATGACCTTTTTTATGAGCAGTGGCAAGAGCAAATCGGCCTATGTGAACTCTGAGTTGAATTTAGTCCCCTGATTTGTTGCCACTTGCCAGTTAGTACTGTAGAAGTGCAGTTCGGCATTGCAATTCACCACTAATATACAAAAATACAATGTTAAATTATTGTAGTAAATAAAGTACAACTAAGCACCCTAAATATTATAATTTTTTTATTTTTTATTACCTACTAGCTGTAACCCGCGGGCTTTGCCCCGTTTAACTTCTTAATTTTCAAGATTATCTCGTTCGCATGGCTCAATCACGTCCTGGTTGAAGTTTGTTCGCTACGCTCACTCACCTTTAGGTTGGAGCTCGTTTGCTACGCTCACTCACCTTTAGGTTGGAGCTCGTTCGCTGCGCTCACTTGCCTTCAGGTTAGCTTGTTCGCTACGCTAACTCGCCACCAGGTTGAAGTTTGTTCGCTACGCTCACTCACCTTTTGGTTGCAAATTAGCTGTTGTCATAAATGTAAAAGAAATAATAGTGCTGCACCCTGTTGGTAATCCTTGTAACTTTAATGCTATTGAACATCATAGAACAGAACCAACTTGTTTAATTGAAACAGCTGTTAAGATTCAATAATTCCATTTCTCATAAGATTAACATGGGAAACTCCAGAGCCACTGGGGCGGAGCCCGAAAGGATTTTTGAAATAAGAATATGCCTATATGTTAATCGGGAATGTGAGCTATCATCATGTCAAATTTCAGCCCAATCCGACCAGTATTTTTCGCGTTCACTTGTCACAAACATCCAAACTTTCTCATTTATAATATTAGTAGGATTTTAAATTTTTTTTTATATAAGTCTTAAATATTAATTTTTTGTATTTTACAAAAACACAATGATCCAAAAGTAGGTACAGTAATTAATGTAATGTTTGTAATTGCAGAAAGAACAATTGAAGCATGATAATATATTGTTTTGTACTTTAAAATTAAATTACATTATTTACAAACCATGTCCTTAAGGCTATGATTTCTTTGAGAGATGGGATCGAGTCAAATTACTGGACAGACTGGATTATCGATTGCCAAATTATCGTGATTCTACCTTATAACATTTTAATCTCTTCAAATCCGAATTCATTTTAGAAATCATTTTCTGTTTTTTGTAGTGTTATACTATTAATTTTACTTATTATGTTACTAATTAATTAAAACATGTAATTTCTGTTGGTGTGATATAATATACCATCTAAAACTTATCATTTGATGAGTATCTTTTTTGCATTTTCGTTAATTTATGAACCAAAACATATATTATTCTTTCATCACTCTTAGTTAGCTATCTACCACAGCCGTGTGTTGTTAGTGAATCCTTTAATATGCAACAACTTATTTTGCATGATGTTTCGTTTGCAGGAGTTTAAGGAACCTAAGCTGGACTCCCAAGTTGTCACTAAGTTCCTGCCTGCCCTCATGTCTCTGATAGTCGACGACCAAGTCAGATCACTCAATTCTAAACTGCCTCCTGACGAGAGGGAGTCCGCCATCACTATCATTGAACATTCAGGTAATGATGGGAAATACTGCACTGTTACTTTGCAATATCAGGAACGTTCTTTAGCTTTTCAGTAATAGGTGAAATTATTATTTGTGTCACCTCGTACAGTATATTTCTTAACGCAAGGTTGCTTTTACTCCCTGTTCTGATTATCAGTAGTGCCTCAGACTGAATGTTATTATTGTGGTTTCACCCTTTAATTCCATTTTGATGCTCAAAACCTAAAACAATGGTTTGAAGTTTGGGCTTAAAGAGTGGTCAGTTCTAAGATGTAAGTAGCAGAAATATATGTGTGATGTGGAAAGCGAACAGGGACCTCTTGTCGGGAATTTTCGATTTTGAGTTGTATATATATTTGAATTCTTATAGCTTAGCTGAAAGAAAAAGAATGTTTAGGCTTCTTAACCTATATAGGAAAACAAATTCAAAGATAGTCAAACTCGATTATATAAAACAGTCAAATATTTATAAGACATTGTGTGTTATAAAGAAAAGGTCTTATTATGATAAAGTTATATTTGATTTAAGTAATATAAAATGTGACAGTAAATCTTTTTGGCGGTCCATAAACACATTAAAAAAGAAAGGTAGTAATGTTGTGGGAGAAATATCGCCTGAAAGATGGATAACACATTTTAGGAATTTATTGAATCCCCCAATCAGAGCAGGTGCGATCAGCTATGCGGAACCGCTTATAGATAACTGCCAATTAGATAGTGACTTCACTCTTGCTGAACTGAAGAATATTTTGAAAACATTAAAGTGTGATAAGGCCCCGGGGTCAGATAGAATTCCTTATGAATTTTTCAAAAATGCACCCGAAAATTTTTTGTTTATTTTATTAACAATCTACAACAAAATTTTAAAAAGTGAAATTGTTCCAAAATCTTTCAAAACCTCAATTATTTTCCCTCTACACAAAAAAGGAGACCTCGATTTAGTTGAAAACTACCGTGGACTATCTTTTATTGATAGCGTGGCCAAAATTTTCACAAGTCTCATAAACAATAGAATACAAACGTGGGTTCAAGAAAATGAAATATTAACGGAATTCCAAGCGGGTTTTAGGAAAGGTTACTCCACCATTGATAACATTTTTAATCTCGCTTGTATGGTTAAGTTACGTCTATCACAAAAAGGGGGGAAACTTTATGCGTTTTTTGTTGACTTTAGTGCGGCTTTTGATACAATCGATCGAAAATCAATGTTTTTTAAACTGTCAAGTTTGGGATTATCGACGCGCATGCTGAATGTATTAAAAATCTACTACAATAACACCAGTTCGAGTGTGTGGTGTGAAGGAGGTGTAACTGACAGGTTCGAAACTAACACAGGTCTGAGGCAAGGCTGCAATCTCTCACCGACTTTATTCAGTTTATTTATCAATGACCTGCCGGAGGCGGTAGGAGGTGGATGCCATTTTGGTGGATCGAAAATAAATATGTTGCTTTACGCTGATGACATTATTCTTCTGTCTCCAACTAGTACCGGGCTGCAGCACATGATAAAAAATTTAGAAACCTACTGTGGGACATGGAATTTAACTGTAAATTTAAATAAATCAAAGATTATTGTTTTTAGAAATGGTGGGAAATTGAAGACGAGCGACAAATGGTGGTATATGGGTAAAATTATTGAGGTGGTAAATGAGTACAAATATTTAGGAATCACGTTCACAAGTTCCCTTTCATGGAGTAATCATTTCAAAGAAAAAGCCAGAATAGGTCAATTTGCTGTTAATTCAGTCAGGAGTGCTTTATTTAAAAACCCAAAAGTACCGCTAAGTCCTAAAATGTGTTGTTTCGAAGCGGTAGTGCGAGCTACAATCTGCTACGGAGCTCAGGTGTGGGGATGTATAGAAAGCGATCAAATAGAATCTGTTCAAAAAATATTTCTCAAAAAATTATTCTCTTTACCTTTTAACACACCAAATTATGCATTATATTTGGAAACATGCTGTGAAAAGTTATACTTTTATGCTTTGAATGTAAATCTAAATTATTTATTGAAATGTTTAACGTTACCAGCAGGGAGATTGCTCAAAATTTTAGCTAAACAAATTATTTCAAGGAATGTATTTTGGAGTAAAGAATGGAAGCTTCTGGGACAACAATTTAATATAAATATTAATTTTCAAAATGATGATTTAGCGGAGCTTAGCGAACAGTTGAGGTCGGTAGCGGAGGGGCTACGTTGTAGATGGAGGGGGGAGTGTGTTGGTCGAGCGCGCACCTCCGTCCATCACAGCCAGTTACTCACGCTCGACCTTGAACTTGGAGATAAGAGTCCCCTCAAACTCAACAATACTCGTACCATTTCGTGGATTCTTAAAGCAAGATTAGAGCTTATCAACCTGAACTACAAGCCTTGGCTCAATCAAAATTATAGATGTTCTTTATGTAACCTAAATGAAAATGAAACAGTCTTATCATTTTATTGCACTTTGTCCGATTTTAAAACACATAAGACATTTGTGGCTGGGAAAACTTTTTTTAAACGAAATAGAATATCATCAATCTATAAATGGGAGGAATTGGCGAGCTTTAGCTAGTTATCTAGAAAATGCTTGGAGGTATAGATGGGAGATAGTGACAGAATTTAACTTTTGAATCTAAATAAGTGTATATGAAACTCGTCTACAGATAAGTTAGGATCAGTATGTTTTTTGTTTTTTATCACTTATGTAATAATATTTCGTTCTCTCTTATATCTTTTCTCTTATGTCTTTATTTCAGAAATATTAATTAATCTTTTTAGTGCTCAATAGGTCTACAATTCTAATCTTAAGTAATGGAACAACTCTAGTGCCAACAAAACAGACGGTTATTAACCATTGTTTTTATGTGTCTGTGAAAAAAATGTATTTGTGTTCTAAATTGTACAATAAAGCACATTTTCATTTCATTTCATTTCATATATTTGAATTCCCTATTAAATTCCGAATCAATTGGTGCAAGTCCCACGCATGTATGATTTTTTTTTGTTTAAGTTATAGGACTTTGAAATTTTGTTATGGAAAAGGGTAATTTTGAGAAAAACTGTTATGAAAATTTCAAATAGGCATAGAAACAGTGCTTTTCTTATTTAAGAAACAATTTTGGTATCAAAAGAAAGCTTATAATGTCCTCTTTGAAAGCAATACAAATGTTTTTCTTAACTCACGGTAGTTTTCATTTAATTAACTGTTTTATTGAAGCATGTCTAAAAATAATATTTCAGAAAAGGGACCTCTTGTTGGCCCTATGTTATTTCTCCATAAGATAAGAAAAGGTACATCTTGTCGGGACCACAAAATTTGTAAGATATTTTGACGTAGTTTTCTAAATGTCCACTAGAATGCAGGACAATTCATTTTTTGGACCAAAATCTATTTAAAAAGTGAATATTAGAAATGGGACCTCTTGTCGTTATGGCGAAACAACATTGCGCGACAAGAGGTACCTTTTCTCAGACCGTGCATAGGCTAACAAAATGATTTATTTCGACCTTATGCATCTTATTCTTCAATTTGATATTTTAACCGATACTGTCATGTTATGCTAAATGAGGTATAACAATCGATAAAACCCCAAAATTTGATATTTTCGACCTAAATTACTTATATTGGTCGTACTGAAAATGTTGTATCTCTGACCAAAGGTCTCTTTTCGCTTTCCACATCACATATACAAAATTTGCCGAAAGATTGTACAGCAGAGATCCAAATTCTTCAGTGATGTTTCAGCAACATATTTTCCTAGAACTGTGTGAATTTATATGACTTTCTCTACCTCAATCAAAAACTCTCAAATTTACCCTCATGTTATTAGCAAAAGTAGCCATGGAGCGTTCTAAGTTGTTTTTAGGGAATTCCTTTTTTTTAATAAGGAATTCAAATCAATTTTAGATTCTTACCTTCACCAACTTGTACATACACATCATAAGCATCAAAGATAAGTTGTGAAGAAGTAAGTGGTGCCTAGCACTAGAGCTGGTGTCTAGGGCATAGTCCAACACCGTCCCCCTCGCCCTCACGTACTGCAATAACGTTAACAGTGGAGGAAGACCCTCTGCCATGTGCAATAGGAATTTCTGTACAGTACTCGCTGTTTGGGCTCCTTGCTCGTCATAAGTATATTATTAAAATGGTATAAAATTACCTGATGCCTTCTGTGATCCTAAATTGTCGTAGTGAGCAACCGGTTTCAAGGGTATAACCTCATCATCAGGCTCTTATTGTCACTTTTGCGAGATCATCGAGTTTAAGAACACACAAAGACATTAACATTTAAAAAATATAAGACGAGACATACTGACAGAGGATTAACATAAATTCGGGAACTAGTTCCACACACGACGTGGCACGGGTAGACGTTTTGTCGTGACAAGTATATTTTTGACACAACATAAGCGAAAAGCTCATGGCTGTCCCATACATATTCCTCTATGGCTTATTTCTCTATGGTAGCATTAAGGTAAACCTCAACAAATACCCTACTGTATGTTCTAGAAATCCTTATGTACATATTAAATAGCACTGGTCTCAAATTGCTAGGTGTAGGCTGTCAAACTAATATTTTTTTTCAGTGATCGGCTATAATATGTTTAACAAATTACCACCCTTAAAACCTTCCACAGCTTTCAGAAGAAAATCAAAATTTACTAAACAACCCTTGGCAATGAAGTGTGAAAGACTTGCATTGGCATCTTTGTGTTGCCAGGTCCGCCACCTGATGCCTGCCAGGCCTATGTTCAGGAGAGCTCAGTAGCCAGTATCATAGCTATGTACTACACTCTACAGACAGCCAAGCAGAGAGACAGGATAGGACTGATGAGAGTGCTAGGCACTCTGGCCACCTGTGATAGCGACCGAGCCTTCGAAGACCCCTTCCTACACTTCCTGGTAAAGTTTAAACAACATGTTTACGTTAGCAGATTTTGACAGTTTTTGCCTTTGGAATAGTCCTAAGCACAATAAACTAAAAGTACTTTTTGAAACTGAGAATAGGTTTAGGCGTATATGTAGAATTGATATTTGTAGAACTGTCCAATGTTTTCCTAACATCGACCATTCAATACAGTTCTACACAATGTTGTTCTCAGAATAACTGTTGTTGCAAGATGTTGTTCTCAATACAGTTGATGTTCAGAGGGTATTTTCAATGGTAAAGCTGTTAACAAAAATATGTCTGACACATTTTAAATCCCTTCATAGTGTTGCATTGTATTCTTGTACAATATAACTAAAAATTAGCTTAGATTATATTTTTACCACTTGTAAAATCTCAGGGTGACTTATTAAATTATTACTTTTTTTATTGTTTCTCAGTTATATTTAAAACATTACTAGAACCCAGCAAATTCAGCTCAGCACAAGTAAACACACCAATTCACATGTTTGTTCCCAGATATCCTTATTGATCCACATGGGAGACGAGTTCTCCACTGAAGACTTCTGCACTGTGATATTCGACGAGTTCTTCTACGCAGGTATCAGCCGAGAGAATGTGGTGAGACACATGTTGAAGCTGCTGTGGTACGTTTACCCCAAGTTGTCCAGCACTCGGCTACATGCTATCATGAAGGTGTTACAGCCTAACGCACAGGTAAACAGTGTTACCTTCATTTGTACTCACCTTGTGAATTGGTGTAAATAACATCTAGGTGCAGAACATTGGTTCTCACTCACCCACTCCCATGGCCATTTATGCCCATGGCGGAATTTGGCTGCACCAACATATTCCTTATATCTTTTTTTTTGTTTGACTTTGGTTCTAAGGTGTCAAATTTAATCCAATCAAATCAATTGTCACTCATAGCAATTGAATTTCTTTAACCAAATGGTTTTGAATTTTGCTTGAATTAAGGAAAACAAATTGTCAAGCTTTTTTATTAAAATTATTTTGCGTTCATTATACTTAATTCCTTACAAAGTAGGCTATACTACATCTAAAAGACAATTTAGTCCACATTATGAAAAAATATAAAAATTTAATTTGATTACTTAATTAGTCAGTCAAAAATCTTGAGTTTATTACAATTGTTTAAACTCCTTAACAAATTCAACTTCTCCTCTCAAATCTGACATTACGTTTACCTTATCAAACCTTACCATCTTACCAAATACAACCTCCCCTTATCACCACATATGCCCAGAGCTAAACTCTCTAACAAAAGCAGCCCTACTGTGTCTAACACAAATCTTGTCTAAAAAATCCTGTTTTCCTTGGTTTTTTTGTATTGTATTGATGATGTTTGTAGCACAATGACGCGGTCCACTCACTGTACAAGCAGCTGACAGAGAAGATAGGCAGCGAGCAAGAGCCTCCTGCTATACCTGAGAACTTGGACTATCTAGAGTCACCACTGATGTCTGTGCCTACTCCTGCGCCCATCTCATAGGTAGGGGATGTTGGCATACTCGGATGTACATTTCTGTCCCACCACTAATACATAGACGGACATTGCTACTAGTTTCACATTATTCCGAGGGATGGCAGCACTTGGTGAATCAATAATCTTTTATATGATTGTGCAATAGTTATTGGATGTACTTTCAGTTTCTTCAATCAGTTCAATCAAAATCCTTGGTGACTTAGGTAAAATTATTATTTTTAAAATTTATAACAAATAATTGAATGATTATTGCACGATTTATATAGGTAAAATAGTGGTGCAGTGGCTTCAACGCTGCAATTGAGTTCTTACAAAGACTTCACAAAAAGACCAGAAACAGCATTTTATCTTTTAAACTATTGCATCTAATGCAAAAAATGTAATACATGTACTAAAGCTAAAATTTAAGGATATACGAAAAATCGGGTCAGATTCGGTTCGGTTTGGATATCCATAACCAACCATTAACCGGAGCTAGGAACACAAGTTTGCAGTTAATGTTCCTAAAAACCAAGAAACACTACTTTTTTAACAGAAACATTTTGAAGTTTGAAACAGTTTTTTAGTGTTTACAACAGAAATGTTGTTTCCCACTGGAAGTCGGTAAAGATCAAGGAAGAAGAATCAAATTATTTCCTCAAAAACATAGTTTTGACAGAAGTAGTTCACTCTCAATAGTAGTTGTGGTCAGTGTACACAAAAACTTATTGTTATCAGCATGAACGGTCTCTATTAGCACAACACTGTCCAATACAACAAAACAAGCCCAAATTTGTGATTTAAAATCACCACTGTTTTGGCTAGGGTGGATTTTTTGAGGGTCAGGTTTGCGGTACTCTGTTCCCCTTATAGAGACCGTAAATTTAATGACCACATCATATTCTATCATTTAAGATTTCCTTCATACTCCCAGTATGATGATCAGAATTTATATTTGCTTGAGTAGTCACAGTTCCCAGATATTTTGGGGACCCTGTATAACCTATTATTAATTATGTTCCAGACTGAAGAGTAATCTCTGCTCCTGATCTCAGGCACAACCAGGCCGGGGGTGCCAAGGGCTGCTGTAGCACTTCCCCAGCAAAAAGGGGGTCGTGAGAATATTTTTTTTCACAAAAATAAAGCAGCTTAATACTTTTTCCAAATTAATATTTCTCTAGAGTGGAACTTTAAAACAAAACTTATCAAAACAAAATTGTAAAAATTTTTGGAAATATAGCGCCCTAAATAATTTCCTCTGTGGGCTATAGCACAGACAGCCCATAATACAAATTGGGACCTGGTTACTCAATATGTGCCATTCAACAATGTAAATATTGTAAAAATATTTTTCTTGTTTTAAAAAACACGTTATATGAGTAAATAAAATATTATTTTAATGTTTGAAAACCATACCAATTTATTCATCCTTTGGTTATATTCTTCTAAACCTGCACCAAATTTTGAAACTTATATTTATGTGGAACTTAAAGGAAGCAATAATTAGTATACTGTATTCACATTTTTCTAAAACCGATAAAAGTGTATTTTATATTATTTTGAAGTGTCTTACAAAAAAATGTTATATAGCCTCTATTTTTACATTATTCTAAGAGTTAAGAAGACACTATAAGCTCTGTGGTTCAGAAATATCCCAATCACAACATATATTATTCAGTTCCCAAAGATTAATATATGTTTGAAATAATTTAATAATCTTTGCTATTTTTTTTTTTACTATAGTAGGTTAGCAGTAAAGGGAAAAGGGTGACCTTTTCTTATTGTCATAAAAATCGTTGTGCACCAAAAATGTGACTTCATGTGTATGATAAATCCTTTTTCAACTACAAGGTAGCATTTAATTAAGAAAGAAATTTGGTTTTTAAAATCTTCATCCAAGTCCTATGAAATATTTGAAGGTATAACTGTTAATCCCTAATAAAAGAATGATGAAAATTAACTATATAATAACATTTTTCATTGTGTGTTGAATGTATTAATTTCAGTGACCTAATAATTGGATTCTTCACTGAACAGTTTTGTATTGTTTTTAAACAGCCCCATTTTTCCTCTCCAACAAAATTATTAAGAATAAAAACTACCAGTGAAATGCAATTTGTCACTCAGATATTACTGTAGTAGTTAGATTCCTTGCAGCTAAATCAGGCAAGATAAACATGTCAAAGGATGAGTCAATTCCAAAGTGCAAGTCACCCATAATAAGAGCTCCAGACTAGACTGTACTAGTCATAGTGTTTATCATACCAGACTGTACTCCCCACTCCAATCTTCCCAGCAGTACAGCTGTAGAGAGCAGCACAGCCACAAGCCACAATCCTTGGACATAACCTAATCATCTACAAGGTGAGTCCATGAACTTGAGTTTTAGTTCCTTATCAGTATAGAAGAAAGTTACTGTACATCCAATACAATGTAATATTATATCTAACATTGCTATTAACATTATGTCATAAGATACAGTTATTAAAATACATTTAAAATAACATTTTATTTTAAACCAGTGTATTAATTTAAAAATAATTGTTGTATTGGATTATGATTATGGTAATCGATGCATTTGTTTGTGTGATTGTTTTCCACTTTGACAGTATTTTCAAATCCAACAAAAGATGTATGAGTGCTTGGATTGGAGTTTGGGTTTGTTTACACTGAAATTTTGTTGGAAATAACATGAAATACGAGTGATTATTTTGTTACTTTATTTGACTGGAAGCACAAACTAATTGCCTCCACCCAAATAGCTTGAGTTGGAGCAAACATGTTTTCCTCCCTGTAATGACTTGGAATTTATTTTAATTTGTATTGCTACAACACAACTCAACTGGTTGGCTGATTGAGTTGTAAACTGTGTGATATAAAACTAAAAAAAATGTTTTATTTAAGATTCTAAAGTGTACTTAAAAAACTCATTTTATAATTTAAAAAAACTTATGTGGATTTCATAAATCTGATTGATCTATATAATTAATACGCTACATGAAACTTTGTCGGTTGAACTCCTCCGCCATTTCCTAACCGATTTTATCCATTGACGTCTCATTGGAAAGAGCGCGTCACGTAGATTTGCAAACTGGCCTTGAATTTTTGAAAACGTCCCTTGGGAGTGGCTTTGAAAGTTCCCGTGTTATCCTTATGGAGAACATAATTGTTTACATTTTGATCAGCTGTATAATTTAATTGCTGGTATTTATTTACTTTCAATTCAATGAAACGCATTGAGTACATTTATTTACTATTTGAGTTTGTGTAAACATAACCCCCAAGACGGATCGTGTTAGTATGGTTGTATCTTAAATCTATGTATTTATCGTTGTTTTGTGTCGCTATGACGGATCGTGTTAGCATGATTGTAACTTAAATTTGTGCGTTTATCGTTGTTTTGTGTAGCTATAATTTGTTTATTTGTTGTTTTTCTTTTAAATGCCCCCGACGTGACGACAACGAAACATAGACAGGAGGCGTAACCGTGATAACGACCGCAGCTACAGAACAGTGGCGCGTAATAGGCTTAACTCATCACAGTCAGCACCTGACCCTGGACAATCTCAACTATTAAGTTACAAATGCGCCCTAACACTACCCCAAAACAACTTTTCGTTCTCAATTGGCCCTCAATGACCTGTGTTGCCTGTACAGCGAGGCATTTTGAGAAGGAGAAAACCGGCTGAAATGCTTTAGGTTTATCAATAACGAAGATAAACATGGTCTGAGTTACACCAAGGGAGTATGTTTTATCTATGGTTACACTCCGGTAATCTTTGAGTTGACTCTTTTAAACTCATTGTAAATATGACTGTTATTCGTTTCGAAATAACTCCTGTAATACTTTCCAATTGCTCGAACTCGAGCAACATGTACACTAGTAATGATAAATCTGATTAATATCAAATGAGTTAACTAGATTAGGATTTAGCCTTTTCTTCTCTGTCCCACTTTTAATAAAAAACAAACGTCACAAATAATGTGTTGGAATATTTTAAAGTAAACAAATTAATCATTTTATCTGTAAACTCGTCATGTCCAGGAATCATTAATCCAAATCTCAGAAAAACTACTTGCAAAAGAAAATTTAAATACAGTACCAGTTTCAAATATCAATTTGTGAGCTGAGTCTTTTCCTACAGTCACCTGACCAAGTGGCCTTCCTTGCACTGATTGTAGCACAGAAAGTTACAAATTGCTACATCTACTTACTTTTTCCGCAAACCAGTATTCCTTCTTAAACAACACAAAACAGTGTGCTTTTATTAGGCACGTAATACGAGTACGCTTGAAAATAAGTTGGCAAACCCTTAAAAGATATTACAACTACGATCCTCTGGTGCAGCTCTTCCCATTTCGTTCAATGTTTGGATCCAACCTAAACTAAAAAAATGTTGTGCAATGTTTGAAAGACTAATTGTTTATGCTTTATAGTAACTGTAGGAAAAATATAATGTGTAACGTGAGTGCAAACTGCCTTTGCTGCACTCCAGAAATTTTCCACTCTCGCCTAGGGCTCGTGTGTAAAAATTTCTCTCATGTGCAGCAAAGTGCCACTTTGCCCACTAGTTACACAAACAACTACTGTACTCAACAAAAAAAAAAAAAAAAACATTGAAAAATATCACAGTTGCAATAAAAAACAAACACTAGTATATGAAACACCATACATTGATAAACTTGCATACTACAGCCATTTATTGTTGGGCAGGATGGTGGTGAGAGGGTTGGTGCTGAGTGTTGTGATAGTTCTGCTAGCAGTTGGCGCAGGTGTCTACTATGATCACCTGACAGCATTCTCAGGCGCAGTACCTCAGCTGACTGAGGAGTGGTGGGGGGTCGGCCCTTCTAGAGCAGACGACACCTCCATCATCCCCTTCAAGATCAACTACCCTAAACAGGTGTGTTTATCCTAAAATGTGTTAATGCTGTCCTGACTTAATTTTAAAATTGATGACAATTCATTTTGATCATCATATAGATTCTGCATTTGAAATAAATCGTCTTGAAATGTTATTAATGAAAACTTGATTTGTTACCTATAAAAAAAAAAAACAGGTGTTTTGTTAAGAATCCTGAAAACGAGACTAAATAATGTAAGCTGTCACCCTATGATGTGAATTTAAACCATGAAGAGTCATTATGCAAATTCTTCTACATAAATAATTCATTACTAAAGTAATTTTTTTTTACAATCCAATAAAAAAAGAAATATATTCTTACTTATGGCTTGATGTTTATGATAGGGACAGTGATATGATATGATATGATCTTTCAACCATAAAACTGATGGACACTAGTTCTGTACACACTTGTCTAATATTCCATTCATGAGATAATAGGATTAGACCTGTGATTAGTGTGTAATTTGCTAGTTGTCCTTGGTTATCTTGCTTCTTCAAAGACTGTTATCTAATACTGGATAGTTGAATATCTAAAAATTAACCTTTCATAAATTACAGTAGACAGTAGGCTATGTTTTCATCTGTAAAAATTTTATCTTTCAAATAAGTACTGAGAAATCTTGGCTTCAAGCCTTCATTGACCTGGCTCTTTTGGTTTCAGTCACAACTGTTTTGCAGTTAGAACTGTTAGTACAATGATTAGAGATTATCTAGTGAGGGTCACGTAGTAAATGATGAGTCATTGTTTTGAGACAAACAAACATGTTTCTCCTAAGTTTCATAAAACTTCCTAAGCTATTCTAGCTTTTCGTTCTACTAATCTTACTTTATATTTTGCTGCCTTATTTCAATCTGTTTAAAAACCTGAAGTTTTGAATAATAATGTTTTAGAATCCTCTGGTAATATTTCTGAGTCAATGTCGTTCCAATTTCGAGTTGCATCTAAACTATTTTAGTTGTAGGATACGCACGTGTTCAAGTAAAATCCATGATTTACTAAACAATCAAAAAGGTTTCAAAATATACATTCAATTTTATCAGTGTTCCCTTAGCACACTGCACAATTCAAAACTATTCCAAAAGAAATAAACAACTTTGATTATATTGTAATATTGTGTCTGGATTTCCCTATTTGGAAATTATAAAATAATTTTGATTTCTTAGGTGCTTGATGATCTCCATATTCGGCTGAACAACACCAGAGTATTCCACCCCCCACTGGAAGGTGTTGGGTTCGAGTATGGCTTCAACACTAAGTTTCTTCAAAAAGTACTAGACTTTTGGAAGACCAAGTATTCTTGGGAAGAACGCCAGAAGTACTTAAACTCATTTCCACAGTTCACCACAGAAATCCAAGGCCTCAAGATCCATTTTATTCACGCAAAGATAACACAGACAAAAAAACCAGGGGTAGGTTGGATCATAGGATTTTAAATAAATAACTCCAATTTGTAACATTATTAATTTTTACAATTTGTATTAACTTATGTTTTGCAAGGAAGTGAAAGTCTAAACCCTGCTTTGTTTTATCTAAAGTCGACCTTTTGTTAGATTAATTGTTAACCAACGGCGAAGGGCATCTCGGTCCAGAATTGATACCACTCAGAATCAAACTTACGACCTCCAGATTTGGGGGCAAACACTATAATCAAGACCACGTTTTCTCCGGGCGCCGCCAACCCTAGGAACGGCCCTGTATTGTCTCATGGACAGTTCCCAAATTGCAATAGTATTTTTACTTTACAAAAAATAGCCATATGAATCTTAGTTGATACTGAACCACCCTTCTTGCAGCCACCTTTTTTATTCAGATGAAACTCTCGTAAATTTTCTTAAATTTGGCACTTTAATAAAAAGAAGTTATGAGGAATTAGTGTTCATTAGAGTCATTGATTTAATAAGTAATAAAGGACTTATCTGCAATACCCTGTGCATAGAACAGCTCTTTACGTAGGGCCGCCCATGGCACATAGGAAAATGTACAATCAGCTCCTAGAACAAATTAAAATTAAAGAAAATAAAAAAATAAAACTTAAATACTATCTCATGTTCTTGTATACTTGTTCCTTAGATGATTTTCTAAATTAATTTAGCACTAGTTATTATTTATTGGGTTTTAAAAATTAAGTAATTATTTGTATTGACATGTCATTATGTTTATATGTGAATAATCAGTCTTTGTAAACTTGACATGATGACTAAACCAAACCTCTCATTTAATCTAACTTACAATGATGAGTCTCCCTGTTGCAGTTGAAGGTGGTTCCTATCTTGCTGTTGCACGGGTGGCCGGGTTCAGTAAGAGAGTTCTACGAGTTGATTCCCAAGTTGATCACACAAAGACCCGGACCAGACTTTCCCTTTGCCTTTGAGGTAGTAGCTCCGTCACTCCCAGGCTATGGTTTCTCGGAGGCAGCCGCTCGGCCGGGTCTAGGAGCTGCTCAGATGGCTGTCGTTCTCCACTCTCTCATGGAGCGACTCGGCTATGACAAGTATTTCGTCCAAGGAGGAGACTGGGGAAGTATAATAGGCACCAACTTTGCCCAGATGTATCCTGACAAGTGAGTAGTGCCATTGGCAACGAGCACTTGCACATAGATGCTGGATTAGAGTACTTTGACGGTGAATATAATGATTTTGTAAAGAGAAATTAATGAATGGTAAAGATAGTAAACCAAAAGTGATCAATCATTATACAACTGTTTGCATATTTCAATAATAAGCCAAGTAGATGCCATGCCACCGTTGGCCGAATGTGTTGATTACCACTATAAGTACACAACGATACTACCTAACTCCTGCAGGTTAGATTCAATGAACTACTATAGCGCTAGTGAATTAGCAGTATCTTAGAACTTCTTTAATCCAAACCCCCATAATCCGAACATCCAATAATCGGAACGCCTCATTGCTGTACTCTATACACAATACAGTTGTTTAATATTGTATACTGTATTTTTTTTTATATTCACCATAATTTTTTCTATTGTAATTTACAGTAGGCCTACTGTTTATTCACTATGTTTCCCACTGTATTTTACTCTATAAATCATTTTTCACTTTTCCCGTAACAATTACGATCTATTTTAGCCACATTTCAGCTATTGTTACATAAAAACAACAATTCACTTGTTCAGTAATTCAAACTATTCAATAGTCCGAACTACCACTGGTCCCAATTAGTTTGGATTAAAGAGGTTCTACTGTATTTGGCTAAAATTTGGTGACGCGCTACACTCGTAAGTCATCGTCAGTGGGTTAAAACATATTGTTTAAAAGTATTTTACTTCCTAATGTGAACCCTTACCTCAAAATCTAAGCGACCCTCAAGTTATCCAAGATGCTTGGTTACCGAGATAGTCTCAATCCCAATAACCTCAGTTAATTGGGAGTGACAGCTTTGTGGGAATAATATGTCTACTTCTAAGAGGGTCTTTTTTAAGTTATGGCCGTTTGTGCGTATAGCTTCTTATTTTCTTGTTATGTAGCTATTTAGTCTCCTACCAGTAATTATAGATTTACCACTTAATTTACAGTGTCATCGGACTACACTTGAACATGGCGAACGTACAACCAACAATCGGTATACAACTGAAGCTGATGGCCGGCAGCTTGTATCCAAGACTAATTTGTGACGAGGGAGAAGAGAAGTTCACTTATCCTATGCTGGACAAACTATCTTTCCTATTGGAGGAGACCGGATACTTACATATACAAGCCACTAAGCCTGACACTGTGGGTGAGTTGTGTGTATTGGATCTGAGTAAAAGCATTGATTTTTGAATACTGAAGTAGACATCTCATCTATACGGACGACACGGTCGAATTAGCCAGTCACAGAGAGTGCTAGTGTTCTAAAATTGTATTTTCTGCCATAGTTTATGTTACTGAGATAGTTGACGTGTCATAAAAGATGCAATAGCCTACAATAAGTCGTCATATCAGTTTAACCTGGTAAGTGAGAGAAATAAGTAATTTACATCACGTTTAAAAATACAAACAAAATATTAACCTAGATAAAAAATACAAATGCAATTTAACTGTCAGCTTGTTGCCACAGGAGTTGCATTGAGAGATTCTCCGATCGGATTGGCTGCTTACATCTTGGAAAAGTTCTCCACTGGGACTAACCCTTCATGGAAGAGTTTGTCTGATGGAGGCCTCTTAAAAAAATACAAACTGGAGGATCTCTTAGATAATATCATGATCTACTGGCTCACTGGATCAGCCACCTCATCTATGAGACTGTACAGCGAGTCATTCAACAAGAAACATATGTCTATGGGATTTAATAAGTGAGTATGAGAAGTGGTGTGTTGTGTTCGAGCCTAGCAGACCTAATCAGAGCCCGGATGGTAGCTTAGTACCTGGAGAGCACCTACTTGAGTTGCGTGTTGTCATTCAATGTGGAAGAACCTCATGATGAGAGTCATGGTGAGAAGCAATGATCAAGTGTCATTCCTCAAAAGTACAGCAGTTGTGTTTTTTTGTTGTTGTGATGATGATCATTAGTTTTCTGTTTATTGTTCCTACCATTAAATGAAATGAAAAAGTGCTTTATTTACAAATAGGTCTAAACTCAGTTATCTTCATTCATTTGTTGAAAATTAAATTTTTGAACAATTGTTAAACAAACTGTCTGTTGAGTTGGTTCTTAATTTATACCTACACAAAATAAATACTCACTTATCAAATTCCATAGTCATATGTTTCTTGTTGAAAGACTCGCTGTACAGTCTCATAGATGAGGTGGCTGATCCAGTGAGCCAGTATATCATGATATTATCTAAGAGATCCTCCAGTTTGTATTTCGTCAAGAGACCTCCATCAGGTAAACAATTCCATGAAAATTTGGTGCAAGTGGAAAAATTTTCCAGGATGTAGGCAGGCGATTGTAGAATCTCTCAATGCAACTCCTGACGAGGTAACTAATGTGACTGTTAAATCAATTTTGTGTCTTACATAATATGTTAAAACATAATTTGTATCAAGATCAACAGAGGAACTAATTAAATTATTGCAGGAATATAACTCAGGTTTACAGTGCTTGCAATGTGTTGATTAACTTATTTCATCTTCGCTCTTTAACATACTAAAAGATCATAAGGAGTGATATAAGTTTGGTTCATCTATTATTTAAACTTGAAAAGTTTGTAAATTATTATATTTTCAGTGTTTTCATGGAGCAGAAATTTTACGTTTTTTGATACGTGAACAGTCCAAACTCTAGTGTTAGTACTAACCATGACTTTGTAGGACATTTAATCAATAGTCCGCTCATTGACAACTGACATGTTGTGTTTCACTAAGGGTATTACTAACAACAATGCTTTGGATATGATGAAAATCTACATTATTGCGATTGAATATAGTTCATTCCAAGATTATACACAAAAATAAGCTCTGTATGGCCTCCAATACTATTCTTATGGAGAACATTTTACGTTATATGAACATTTTGGTTAACGTTTTGGGAATTCCACTATTTTTCCCGCCTTCATGATATAGAGACCTTCAATTTGAGCCCTCTCTCATCGTTCTAGGACATCCCAGTCGCCCACCATTTTGACGCAAAGAATCACCTTACGTAATTAATACATAGATTCTTCACAATGTCATCACAAGCACAATCCCATCATATTCTAGGTTTCTTCCATTCTTCAGAACTAGAAATTTTGTAATTCTGTTTTACTAATCAGTGATGGGGAATTTACTCAACTTATATCGCTGCTTAAAATTTTAGACAATCTGTGAAAGAGGGAAAATGGAATAAGTCATCATAAATGCTGTTGATAAGCCTGATCTGTATTCCTGCAACAATTAAAATCAAATCAATTTATTTCAGAAATTCTACATAAGAAAGAATTTGTACAATAAACCCTCTGAAATTAGGAAATTGATTTCTCTGTACATTTTTACTAAACCTGTTTAAAAATAGCAAACATGTTTAGCAAAGACACCCGTTTTATTTCACTGTCACATTTTTACAGGAGTTGCTTTGAGAGATTCTCCGATCGCATTGGCTGCTTACATCTTGGAAAAGTTCTCCACATGGACCAACCCTTCATGGAAGAGTTTGCCTGATGGAGGCCTCTTAAAGAAGTACAAACTGGAGGATCTCTTAGATAATATCATTATCTACTGGCTCACTGGATCAGCCACCTCATCTATGAGACTGTACAGCGAGACTTTCAACAAGAAAAGTATGACGTTGGGATTTGAAAAGTGAGTATGAGAAGTGGTGTGTTGTGGCAGAGACTTGATCAATCGGCAAGTCCGGAAAGTCTAGGTAGGTTTAGTTTTAATATTATTTGTACAGGGTGTTATTTTAAACGCAACCCAAAATACAAATACAAAGAGTCATTGTGTACACACAAAAGAAGCTCATAATTTGGCAGTCCTGCTTCCTATACTTCATTAACAATCAGCTGAAATGCATTGCTGTCTACTTGGCCAAGTAATATTGAGATTTTATTGTGATAAAACTCAACGTGTGTTTCTATAAAACGCGAGAAGAATTGTATAATCGATCTTTACACTTTATACAACTTTTGATTTATTAAGTACCCAACTAAAATCTTAAATGCAAAAATTCTTGTGGTAAAATGTAGGCCTATAGTTTACTTTTTGTATATTCTTCTACAATACATACTCTTTGGGCTTGTGAAAGCACTATCTTGAGTCACAACACAATTAATTTCTATTAATACTAAACTGTATGGATAAAATCGCCAAAACTTTTATCACCTGATCAGTCGGTAATGTAGTAAACAAAGCCAATAAATGAGGTTGTTTGTCCCGTAAAAATTAATTGTACTTGTAATTTGGGCTGTGTTTAGAAAAACTTAATTCTATAATCTATTTTATTAAAGTTTTTTGTCTAATCAAAATCTGTTTTCAGGGCTCCAGTCACAGTTGTTACGGGAATTGCTCGATTACCCAATGAGATTGCTAACCAACCTCGCTCAATACTCGGTCTCAAGTTTAAGAAAATCGTCCATCTGACGGATTTTCCCACTGGTGGACACTTTGCTGCGTTTGAGGAGCCAAAACTGCTCGCTGATGACATCTGGAAATTTGCCTCTATTGCAAACCACACTCTTACTCTTGAGCATCCAGATGTTAAGTGGTTTTAAGTGTTATTTTGTAGATGTCTGTAAAAATAAAGTTTACATTTTAAATTTTTCCCTAGTGTAAAACTAATCGATGTAGGTTTAGTCTAAGATTACATATGTTTAAAAATAGTTTAAGTTGGTTATATCGGCAGCCTGAAGTCAATGCAAATAGCGGATTGAATGGTTTGAAATATAGTTTGGGATTGAACATGCCTCTATTGTACAAGCTCTCAAAATTTGAAAACTATATGTTTTTCAATGATTGTGTGCCTTATGTGCTTGACGTAACAGAGCTTGTAATTTAGTTTAAGTTCCATGTGAAAAAGAATAATTCACGTATATTAAAAAATGATTTTGTAAATACTATGAAAATTTTGAAGTTTTAGTTCATCCAGAACATGGTTTAGATCTTTGTAAATATTTTACCCTGTATTTCAACTTCAACTCAATAAACACTTTAATAACGCCACGAGAGTCTTTTATGTAGGACTATGTTTACGCGGTAACCAGCCGATGGGTGGAACCCTCTTAATTTTTAATACTTTATTCTGAAATGGCAACCATACGAATGTATGTATTTTAAGCCCCAAGTTTGAATAGAGATGAGTGGCGTGATCTTGTAGTCTCTTGTTAGTGATATGTTCCTTAGACACAACGGTTAATTAATAGCTTATACAGCCAATGGCAACTAAGGGACCTACAGTTTATATTCAAATTTAAACCATATTTTTGCCTTGTAGTTAACAAATCGGTCTAATCATCAGGATAGGACAGTGGATGTTGTAGTACTCACAAGTGTGGATGTTAATCCACACCAGGGAGTATCCCGTCCACAGTGTATGCCTATAAATATACGACCTTCTAGTAGCTGGATTACAGGACGACGCCCCTGTCCCAGTAGTTTCTTGGTAGCTACTAAAGAATTTGTGGAGAAACTGAAGAACATACAGTATAACAAGAAAGTTTTCCTTGGAGAATCTCAATTTTGTATGTTGAGCATTACAAAATAATGATACTGCTAATCAGGCTACAATTATTATTGTAAATAGCCTAGGCTATTTAAAATCCATTTGCATTAACTGGAAAATCTCTTCATTAACTGTTTCGACTCTTGTTTAGAATCTGACTGTAGCAGAGCCGGCCTTAGGCGAGTGCGAAAGGTGCGGCCGCACATGGCCCCGCACCTCAGGGGGCCAAAAATAGTCTGTTAAGTTTAATTTAGTTGTGTCAGTTATGAAAAAACGAAAAGAGGGAGTATAAATTAGTAAATATTAATTATTCATTTAGAATTTTGTTAGTCTTTATTGTTCTAAAACTACTTTTTCCCACTCTGATTGTTTGTAATGGGCTCCGCACTACCCACAGAGTTGTCTCTGGACTGTGGTTATTTAACTGATGGGTCAGCTGTTTATTTACAATCTATATAATTTAATACGCTACATGAAACTTTGTCAGTCGAACTACTCCGTCATTTCTTAACCGATTTTATCCATTGACGTCTCATTGGAAAGAGCGTGTCACGTAGATTTGCAAACTGACCTTACATTTTAGAAAAAGTCCCTTGGGCTCTGCCCCAGTGGCTTTGAAAGTTCCCACGTTATCCTTATGAAGAACATAATTGTTTACATTTTGATCAGCTGTATAGTTTAATTGCTGTTATTTATTTTTCAATTTAATGAAACGCATTGAGTACATTTATTTACTATTTGAATTTGTATAAACATAACCCTCAAGACGGATTGTGTTAGTATGGTTGTATCTCAAATTTGTGTATTTATCGTTGTTTTCTGTCGCTATGACGGATCGTGTTAGTATGATTGTAACTTCAATTTGTGCATTTATCGTTGTTTTGTGTAGCTATAATTTGTTGTTTTCTTTTTCTTTTAAATGCCTCCGACGCAACGACAACGAAACATTGACAGGAGGCGTAGTCGTGATAGCGACCGCAGTTACAGAACAGTGATCACAGTCAGCACCTGACCCTGGACAATCTCAACTATTAGGTTACAAATGAGCCCTAACACTACCCCAAAACGACTGTTCGTTCTCAATTGGCCCTCTATCAATAACCTGTGTTGTCTCTACAGCGAGGCATTTTGAGAAGGAGAAAACCGGCCGGAATGCTTTAGGTTTATCAATAACGAAGATAAACATGGTCTGAGTTACACACCGGTAATCTTTGAGTTGAATCTTTTAAACTCATTGTAAATATGACTGATATTCGTTTTGAAATAACTCCTGTAATACTTTGCAATTGCTCGAATTCGAGCAACATGTACAATAGTTAACATTAATTTAAACTGTTATAAAATAAATTTATCAGCATCACTGGATCTTTTTAAGTAAAATTTAGAAATACATTCAACACTAGTGGGGGGAATGGGGAATCAATACAGAAAATTACCTTTTTACTTACCATTTGTCTCTCTGCTTGATCACTCGCTTTAAAATCTTGAATCTTGAAATTACACAATAATGGTAAAAATCAGTTTACTAGGACGGATTTTTTATCCACCAAGTACTGTCTTTTGTCCTGTTAGAGCTAAGGGGTAAGGAGACTCTTACCGTCTTCAGTTAGGCCAGTGCTACTTTACGTCACAGGTGTGGCCAGATGCACTCATCGAAAATGTGTATTAGTCGAGGCTCCTTGGACCTTGAGTGCAGCGTCAGGTGGCCCTCAGGGTCACTTCTGCATACATCACAGTGTCTGAACCGGCTGTTATGGTGATTGCTGAGGTTATTCCTGTCCTAATTATTGGCAGCAAAGAGGAAGGCAATTTAGAGACAAGGCTTTGTAGGTAAGGAAGGATGCCACACCTTCCAGATATGGCAGGAGAGTTGGGAACAGGAGACACGAGATTGAGGGACTGCCAGTCTCGGGAACTGCACTTTAAAAATTTTGGTTCACCTGGCTGTATTTACTGCCTTGGTGCTCACAACGCCGAGGAACACCTGTTCTTCTGTTGTCCACGTTGAGATATGGTCCGCCTTGAGACCACTAAACATCTTGGGATGCTGTTGGTTCAATCAATTTTTGAGATCATGATGGAGGGCGAGGACAATTGGGACTGTTAGGGGGTAGGCAAACTCGGCTTGGATTTGATGAAGCACAACATGTACCATACCAAATATATCCTCAATGCTACTGGCATCCAATGAAGAAAATTCAGATTGAACTCCGCCAATCACCAAAGGATTTTATCTAAGTGATAATGCCATGGCCCAGTAATGTGTAAAATCCGGGTTGGAGCCAGCATCCTAGGATGTGAATATATTGCAGCTTTGGTTTGGTACCGTGATGTGCATTGTTCAAATTTCAAAACTTAGCCAACAAGCCGGTCTGTTTTCAGTGTGGTAAATCCAAATTTTTATTGCTGAACAATCATTGTGAAATATCTTCATGTGAAGCACAAATTACTTGAAATAGTTATTTTGGCGATTATTAAATACTAAATCATTTTACAGTCGGCCTCGATTCCTGGCAAATAGAAGCCGTATAAGACGTGTGTAAGAGAGAGAGAGAGTGAGTGAGTGAGTGAGAGAGATATATACTCGACCTTGACTACGCCAGTCCATTGTTGGATTGTTGCTCGTTGCGCGCCTTCAGTTTAGCGTCATCAGCTGTTCAGTGTTCAGTGATCGTGCGTTATCCACCATGTGTTCTTTTTCTTGTGGATATGACTGTTTCACCCCTTCGATCAAGGTAATTTCGGATTGGTTTTGGTTCTTGATACCATAAAGTTAACGGTTTGGTACACTAGACCACTAAACGTGAAGTTTAGAATCAGCTGTTCAGAGCATTGTTGACATTTCGTTTGATGAGAAATGTCTTTGTACTTGGTAAAACTGTGATTTTTAGTCATCGGTAATGTTTGTTTGAATAATTGTTCCAAGTCCAAGCAGTGACTAAATGTTTCATTTACATACACTCGTTCATTATTTTAGCTTAGTTTTACCAAAGGTTTTACCATGCATTTTGTGTTTCCATCTAGAGTAATTTTCAATTCTCTACCATGACTAGAAGAATCAACAGATATTCTTCTAAGTACTTTTAATTACTTCGCTCACCACTTAAATTAGTATAATTGTCAAAATAGATCGTCCCGTTTGAGGCGTCGATAAAACCTGAGATCGACGATTATGCTGGCAGTGAACATAGTAGTCTTCGTTCTTGAGGAGGCTGTTAAATTACATGAGATAAGCTTAGACCGCGCCGAATACAGTATTGCATTACCGGTAATAAACTATTATAATTTTGACTTGGTTGACCATGATCATTGGACATAGTGTTTCTCTTGGTTAAACAATGATTCATTAAACTGAGAAGGCCAATTACCGTAATTACTTATGTATGTGTGGAGTGTGGTTTACCAAAACAAATACAGCGTGTTGCGTACACGTCCAGGCACTTGCGCTAAATAACCTTGATAAATCAGTCGCCCGTTTGCCTTTCCTGTAAACAAGAACCAACCCTACGATATTTGTCACATTAGTAGCTTTCAATCTTTTTGCAATAAAGGGGGTTTTCACTATTCAAGATGACGACTCAACTAAGTACGTTGACCTATTGAATGCATTATAAGAATGGTACTATGTAGTGATTGCTGAGACTTTCTTCAGCCAGGGTCATTAGTTTATAACAATCATCGATTAATGGATGCTATTTACCATACTCCGAAAACCCGAAATATTATGGATAAAGATAATATGAATCTTATGCCACAAAAATATTCAAAAACACGATTGTCAGGAACGTTTATTTTCGGATTGTGAAGAGTGCGTTTTGATGGGGATTGCCCAACTCCGCGCAGTGGTCAAATTTAATCCGAGGAAATGTTTTATGGCCCCCGAAGGGTTCAGCCCAACTCCGCGCGGTGGTCACTTTTAGGGCCAATTCCAACTCCGCGCGGTGGTCACTTGTAATATTAAGGTTACCCGTCAATTACAGACCCATCAAAAAGTGTTTGAGACAGGGTAAAAAGTGTGAAATGTCAATAGTTAAGTGTAAAATGAATTCATTTGACAATCTATATATCTAATTCCGTAAGCCCAAAATTTTACAATGAAATT